ATTTTTAAGAACCAAAAGGAAACCAAAGATTCTAAGAGAAAATTTTGAATTTACATTTGCAAATAAGTTACCTAATATTCTATTGTTGAATGTTTTGCATCCATCTTTGGTGACTAGCTGCCATCAGCTAGCAGCAGCTAGTTTTTACCAAATCGCAGAATGCGCCGTGACTTTCATGTATAAAAAGTATATTAATAAATTTGAATAATTAAACAACTTTAACATTACCAATTTGATACTAGTAAGTTGCGCAAAGCCGTTTAAGCCGCGTTCCGAAATTTTCCGACATTAGTGTATATAAACGTACATATAGAACGTACATATAGAAATTAATCATTTTTCTGACTTAGAGGCAGCTTCATAGTAATCTGATATAACGATTATTAAGACATTGGGGCAGCAAAGGCGACGACATGGAAGATTAGCAGCGTATGGCATTTCTTGTGTAAACATATGATGTCAGTAATACGTGTCATGTCACGATTTGTCATGCATGAGGCCATCGTTCGCATGTAATAGTAATTGTTGTTTCGCATATGCGAACAACGCGTGATTCTTACGCGGTAGAGCCGCACATTACCTGTGCGAGTTATTTGCGGGAGCAAATTTGGCAGGAATTATCGCTGTGTGTATTTTATATATGATGTACATTAGAGTCCTTGAATTAGGAATCAAGATTATGCCTTATTAATAGCGACAATGTATCATAAAAGTATATATATAAACTATGAAAGAGAGGGGGGAGGGAGAGGGGGAGGGAGGGAGGGAAGGGGGGGAGAGAGAGAGAGAGAGAGAGAGAGAGAGAGAGAGAGACGGGGACTTTGTAGAGTGTAATCTAATTGACCGCATCGAGAAGGAATTCACATACTCTTATTGCGCGTGTACATTTTGCCTGTATACATGGATAGACGGTTGCGGAAAGTTGCTTTTATAATAAAATCTACATGGACTACAGACAATATAATTGCGGTAGTCTTAAAAGATGCGGTAATATGTTGCAATGACGAAACAATAGCAGGAATGGAGCATAAAAGTTATACGAGAGAAATAATGAGAAATAGAGGGGGGTGAGGAGTTAAAGAGAACAATGAATTGTCAGTGGATATTATAAATAAGTGCTTCCCTCTTATAATTACTATAGCAGGAAAAGAACGACTACTATTATTATTACAATTATTAGTATTATTATATTGTTATTATGATTATGAATTATTATCATTATATTGTATTATTATTGATATATTATTGAGACTTTAGTAGAAAGGGATGTAGATAGGTATTTTTAGCATTTATTTCATCGTACAATCGTGTGTATGTATCTATTATGCATGGAATCGGCGTGATAAGCGGACTCTCCTACTTGGTCGAACATCACTTGTAAATCGTACATCGTTTCGCTGTTGATTGTATAATTAAGATTACACACGAATTACACGTAGATTAAATAAGGAAAATTAATCTTTATGCGATACTTTACAATTAACCAAAAGGAAAGACAGAAAAAAGAAAGAGAAAGCGAGAGAGATCATTAGCATTCGATTATATTTTACTAACAATAAAATATACACACATACATACATATACACACGATGCATATCCTTCAACATAAAATATTACAGAATTATTGTCGGGTTATAATTAATTATAAACGATAATTAGTACGAAATATTAATACGTTAGAGATATAATTATGTTTATGCACATTACATCAAAGAGAATGAAAGAAAGAGATAAATTGTTACTTTTCATAATTTAGTTTATTTTTGCTTATACGAATATGATATTGAAAAATTTTGAAAGTTACTTATCATAAAAATATTAATAATAATAATAATGGTTTTCTCATTATATATACGATGAAATTCATATTACCAATAATTATTTATATGTACATATAGGTATATTGAAAAAAGAGAAAAGTGAAAAAGATATATTTATCTTGTCGCTTTTTAACAGCAATACGCGAACGGGAAGTTACACGAGAAATTTAACGCAGATACTAAAAATCGTTCCAAGTTTAGCAGTGAAATTAAATATATATGAACATATATTGTAAAAAGAATTATTTTTATTATTATTCATATGTGTAGGAAATCATTATTATTTGTCTCTGTATGAAATTAAATGAATTAATGTTAATAGTACGAGATCGGATGAGTCTGAATCAATTGCAGAAGTAATTGATTATAATAAAAACCATTTTGTTATTGCAAGGAGGAAAAAACAACAAGTTGAATAGCGTTACCGAATTGTGTTTTGCTATGTAAAGTTGGCTTAAAGAAAGAAAGAGAAAGAAGAGAGAGAAAGAGAGAGGGAGAGGGAGAGGGAGAGGGAGAGAGAGAGAGAGAGAGAGAGAGAGAGAGAGAGAGAGAGAGAGAGAGAGAGAGAGAGAGATCGTAAAGTCCGAAGAGAGCCTTCACGCGAAATGTGTAACAGAGACTGAATTACGTAGAGGCCAATGCACAGTATTGTCCTTTACACTTTCCATTATTTCAGCATTTTATGAAAGGCGCGTTCAACATATATATGCAGGAATATATTTTTCAAATGCGAATGATATATTGTACAAATGTGAAGAGAGAGCAGGGTTGGGAAAGTTACTTTTTAAAAATAACTCGTTACCGTTACCATTACTTTCGGTAAAAAGTAACTCGTTACCGTTACTCGTTACTGATCTTAAAAAATAACGCGTTACCGTTACTTGAAAGTAACGATATTTTATTTCGTTACTTTCCGTTACTTTTTTTTGTTATAAATCCAAGATTATAAGAAAGGTGCTAAGACAAGATATAAATCGGACATAAGACGATTAGAAATATATATATATATATATTTAAATATTTTTATTATTTTATGTTATTAAGTATTGTACTTAATGAAAAGTTTCTTAATTAGTGGATATGAATTTAATATTTGGACATTAGTGCCTGTTGACTTTAAAAATCTTTGCCATTCATCATAGGCAGATTTCTCATTTGATGTTTGCTATTTAAAATTTAAAAAGTCATCGTTATTATTGTGCTTATCAGACAACAAAAAATTTTTAATTGAAGGAATTCCTTATAAATCTTCTAAATACGTTTGCGCAAGTTTTCATTTATCTTCAGCTAACCAACTCAATTTGGGATGCAAATAGCTGACAATTATCAATTCTTCTTTTTCGAGTGTAGTACAAAACCTAAAGTTAAATCAATAAAATTAAATATGAACATATTGATTTTTCTTTTTGATTAGATGAATGTTGTTTGATGAACATATGTATTAACCAAATTACACCAACTTACCTTTCTTTTAAACCTTTCTGTATAGCTACGGCCAATGGATGACAATATGTGAGTCCATCTTTATTGGTTCTCATTAAATTCAGCATAAAACAAAAAATGCATAGAAATTAAATACAATTAAGTTTAATTTTATAAAAATTAAAAAGTAACGATTAAAGTAACGGACGTTTTATTACTCGTTACAAAAAAAATGTATCGCCGTTACTTTTTCATTACTGACACCAAAAAATAACGGCGTTACCTAATCGTTACTCAAAAAAGTAACGATATCAGTAACGGCGTTACAAGTAACGCGTTACTTCCCAACTCTGAGAGAGAGAGAGAGAGAGAGAGAGAGAGAGAGAGAGAGAGAAAGAGAGAGAGAGGGGGGAACGATAGGGAAAGAAAGATTTTAGTCAATTCAACGCGTAGAGAGGAGAATCGTCATCATTGATTAATATTACAGAGTTATTAATTACAGAAGGTGTATATGTACAGTTTAATATGTTATAAAAAGATCCTCTGCGAAATACGAGTGGACACAAGAGACTCGTATAAAAACAATCGTACCTTCTCTACTAACTCGCGCGGTTTTAGCGATAAAATTGCGTGGTACGAATTAGTATCTTTCGTGTTTTTATAATCCACATCACACGATTGTGTTATTTACGCGCGATAATATTGTTTACGGTACGCTACGAGAATTTATTTGACATTTCTGGATTACTCGAATAATAAATTGCAAATCGTACGAGTTTCTTATAATACATTTTTCGATTGATTCTTTTGCGATATTTGTAAATTAAATTAATTTCGAGAAAGTGAATTGTAAGACGCAAAGCAGCGATTGTTATTATGTGAAATTAATAATAGAGAGCACTTATTAAACTATAACGCATGTTCTTGACTACGTGATTGTTCAGTGAGTTTTTTTTATTACGCAAGAAAATCGAGCTATTTTGGATCTTATGATTCTGTTTCTTTTACATTGATTATATTAATATTACATATCGATTTGGTAAACATTTGTTTTAGATTAGATTAAGAGATAGATTAACAAAAGTAAGAAGAGATTATATGGATAATTTGTTATATTGCGGTATTGGAAAATGAGATATTAGGAAACAAAATTTTGGGAAAAATTGCGAATGATGACGAAAAATCCTTAATGAGAATATCTTATTGTGTAATAGATGCTTGAATTTTTTACGCGTATTGCTACATATCAATATTCATCGCGCGTATACAATATACATGTATATATATATATATATATGTCCAAAATACGATGTAACATTCAATTTCGTAAGAAATTTGTATTACGCATCAACGAATAATTATTAGTCCTCCAACATTAATTGTGGCACTGATAATGAGCTGCTTATAATATTTATACGCAGTCCGATATTATCGATTTTTCGATCAAGACTTCACTTAGAAAATGAAATCGTTTTATTGTAATTATTGTTTAGATATTTATATCTACTTTACAGACTTATCGTTATTAAATGCTAATTGGTGCTGGTGTTAACACTGATTGTTGCATCTTTTTCATTTACATCTCTTGTTATAATTACCTTTCTTTATCCCGTTCCTTTTTATTGCCCAAACAAAATCTCAAAAAAGCGCTAGATGCTATGTAGCTAATTTAAGACGAACAAGAGAAGACAGAACATTCCATTAAAAAACCGCACTTGGGAGAGAGAGGGGAGGAAAAAAAAGAAAGACAAAATCTCGCTCATTTTTCTTCTTTTCCCATTATTCTGTCTGATTTTGTAATATCGGTGCGATTTTCCGCGGAGTTCCGTAAGAATATCAATATGTGTGACAACGCTCGAAAAAAATACACATTCATTATAGTAGGATATCTTTTGATATTTTTTTTATTATCTCGTGTAACATTCATTTCATCAGAGCGTGCACCACAGCTTTGGCGTTCAGTGACTTCAAATCCGTGTACGTTTGGCCAGTTCCGACGAAGACAATGGGTTGTCCAGTGATGTAAGTCATCGTAATTGCCGCACCGACCTACACATTAAATAATAATCCATTGTAGCCTATATAAAATAAATAGGCTCTCCAGATATACAATCAAGTAAATAGACGTAAATGCAAGAACCAATGCTGTTATTCAAGCGTAACTTAATATGTAAAAAAATTACTTTTATATTCATTTCGAACATTTTAATAATTTTTCAAATGCTCTAACAACTTGGACATATTTTGTCGTTTTGGCTGTTGTAATTTAATACTAAAACAATTTTTTGTTTTATTGTAATTTTAACTCAGGAAAATCTATATATTCAAAGCATTTGGATTAAATGTAAAAACATGTCTTTTTTGTACATTAAATTTTGCTCCAACGACATAGCACTGGTCTTATTTGCCTATACATTTATTTACTCGATTGTATCCATTACAGACAAATGAGAACATGTATTACTTTTCTCCTAGTTACTACACGTCGCTACAGTGGCTTTTCATTAAACGATTTCGTTTAGGACGAAATGCCACTATATTGTTTCTCTTCTAAAATTCGCATTGAAATCAGTAGCTAATCTAGTAAAATTTAATAAAATAACAACAGATAATAATAGTAAGCTAAATAATAATAAATTGATAATGAAAATCTCAAATAGAATATTCAATCTACCTTATCATCGATTGTGTCAAATTTGGTCAGCACGATACCATCGATAATATGAGGATTGACAGACTGGCTATAGTCAGCCAGTGCTTGATTGAACTTCACCAGCTGATCGACAGCCTCGTTGCCCACTAAGGCTTCGCCGACGAACAGCACTAGATCCGGCTCATTCACCTTAATCAGCTTCGCTAAAGCACGCATGAGCGGCTCATTGTCCTGCATTCTGCCGGCGGTGTCGACTAACACGATATCAAACAAGCAGTCTTTGGCGAAGCGAATCGCCTCCATGGCAATGCCAGCAGCATCCTTGCCATAGCCTTTCTCGTATAGTTGCACCATTGGTACATTACCGTGCTTCTCCTGCGGGTGCAGCGCGTTCAAATGTCGCATATGCGTCCGCAGCTGTTCGACTGCACCGGCTCTGCGAATGGCAAGATCTTACTATTAGTTCGTAAAGTGGAAACCTGTGCCTTCATTATCAGAGAACGGGCGGGACGCGAGGCGGAAAGCAAAGTGTCGATTTACCGGAATGTATCGCAAGCAGCGATCAGAACGCGGAAGTTGTTCTCAATGAGCCAGAAGCAGATTTTAGCTAGGTTCGTGGATTTGCCGACGCCGTTCACGCCGCAAAACGTCATTACATATGGCCTGCCGGTCTTCTTCGCTTCCAACGCGTCACGCAGAATATCGATCCGCCGTTTGGGAGACAATATCTGCACCAAGGCGTCGGTGAGAGTAGCCTTCACGGTGTTCGCCACATTGTCGAAAGTGCCCAACACCTTGCCCTCGAGCTTCGTGCCCACGGAATCACATAGTTTCTGCGCGATATCGGCGGCGACGTTTTTGGTGATCAGGTGGTCCTTCAATTTGTCCAACACTGGTGCCATGTCGTCGTGTTTCAACGACTTGCTGCCGACTAGGCTTTTGAACATGGAAAACATACTGCTGCTTGTTGTCTTCTTCTGCGTCTGCTGCATCTTGGAACGTTCCGTCGTCTCCTGATCGGAATCGTCGTCATCGTCTTCCTCGGATTCGCTGTTCACCTCAAGGTCACGTATGCTGCCTTTCATCTGCCCGACTAGCTATAGGAATTGACGTAAGTATTAATAACAACTTAGACAAAAGATAACGGTGACATGTATATATATAAATCTGTCTAAACCTGAATTGGGTAGTAACATGTTATGTCGTTATCTTTACAACCTACTTCTTTGCGATGACTTAATAAAAGTATTATTTTTCCTCGTTAATAACGATAATAGTATTAATTATAATTAACGGCAGTAAAACGATAATGATAATGCAATTAATTTTTTATGTAATATTAATGAATGAGCGATAATGAGTCAAAGAAACAATAAAGAAAACTTCGAAATTTGGTGAAGAAAATTGTAACGACTCGTTACTTCTTGAGTAACAATAACAACAATGAATATAATCGTTACCTTATATATATTTAGAATATATTTACATGAAATAAGCGATAAAGTAATCGGAAAGAAAATTTTTTAATTTGAAAAAAACAGAAATCGTAACGACACATTATTTCTTGAGCATAATAATAATGATAACGAGATATTTTTCAAAATGAATAACGAGTTAACGAGATAATAAGTTTCTCTTCAAAACTAAATCTTCCAACCCTGCTTTAAACAAACTGCTTTAAAAGGAACAGAGAAAATATTACAGTTGTATCGGCCGGTACGTAATCGCCGCTTTCTTCAGGCTTGTCTTTGGTTCGCTCCAAGGCTGCAAGATCTTTGACAGTCCCGCCGAGTTCCCAAATACGTGGTTTCTTACCAGCTTTCTCAGGTTTCGGACTCTTCCTAGTATTGTTCGATGTTAGGTAAATATAATAAATAAAATAATAAGTTATTATATTGTGGATTAATTCACGAAGAACTTACTGCTTGTCAGCTTTTTTCTTTTGCCCTGTCATCTTCTGAACAAGTTTCATGCGATTAGCGATCAATGTTTCTTCGTCAAGTTCCCCATTGTGAACCGCTTGTTGTTTCATAGGTTCTTGCTTTGAATTTTCTTGAATTTTTGCTATTAATTTCATAAAAGTTAGGAAATATTAATTACATTTAATCCTTAATATAAGATCAGATGCATATGAAATCAATATCAGATCATATGCATCAGATAAAAAAAATTTAGCAAAAGTCTCAGCTGATTTTAAATATGTTTAGTCTCTCATGCAGCATATCTTTATATTTTAGTATCAAAGAAGAAGAAAACAGCAAAGTTAATATTAGAAGGTAAAAGCAAAGTCGATAACTAAAAAAGATCAGCTAGAAAAAGTTCAAGCATTGCGTACCATGATTATTCTCGTTATAATTAATCCCCTTCTTCTTTTTACCTAGAAACGAAGAAGAAAATCCCCATTTTTCGTTATTGTTAGCCAGTGAGTGAAAAGGAGAGATTATTACCTAAATAAAAGTAACTCGTAATTCTAGATTACATTTTAAAAACAGAAGTTGTACTTGTGAGCTTCTCATAACTTCATAGTGTGACATTTTTTAAAAAACATACATTTAGAAAGTAAAAGAGATAGAATTTTGAATTGTCAAACCCAATTCTAAGAATAAATTAAATATTCTAAGAATAAATTATGAATTCACTTCCAAATCCTGTGCGTCAAATTCTTTTCTTTAATCTTTTTAATATTTCTAAAGTATATTTCTAAAGATATGGTATAAATATAAAAATATAGTAAAATAAAAATATTTTGATTGTGTTTAATAAAGTTTTTGTTGAAACTATTTACTGAGAATTCATTAAGCTTGAAAATATTTTTCATTTTCTCATTAGTTTTTTAACTTTCAATAACATTTTTTAAAAACTCTTTTTGTTGAAAATACTTTCTAAATCAATCTTGTAAAATATTATTTATACCTGTAGGATATCCTTATATTAAAACAATACTAAAAATTCAAGATTCAAAGATTGAAGAAATGAAGATAAGAAACTGTTTGGAAGCATTTCAGCTAAGCCAGGCAATGTATTAACGCGAGTCTCTCGCGTATATAACTTTCAAGTTTGTTATATTATGGACAGCAGCTATATTGTGATATATACCAGCTTTCTTCTCGTCTTTGTCGTCCTTCCTCTCAATCATGCTAGCGACCGTCTTCTTAGATTTCTGACTCTCATCAAAAGTGCGCATTTGCTTAGGTAACTTGGCCTGCGTGCGGGACCACTGCTCGGCCCGCTCGAGCACCAGTCGGTAAGCATGTTCAAACTCAAAATTAGAGAACCAACTCGCATTCTCTAGCTCGTTTTTGAAACGATCACGGAACTCCAGATGAACATCATTCAGAAACTTGTCTACATATGACAGCTGTAGTATTTTCTGATATGCTACCACAAACACCAGCTCAAACTCATTGTCAAGTTTATATTGCAGACGCAGGGAGTCATGCTCGAAACTGTGGTTACCTGTACGTTCCTGTAAGAGGTTTTCATATATTTATATATTTATGGAAAAAGAAGCATCTTTTTCTCATATGCCACATGATTCTCTAAAGCTTCTAATATAATATCAACACTGTCAATATTAGGAAAATTGATTTCACAAAGTGAACTTCTTTATTTTACAAATTAAATTAAAAAAAAAGAAATTAAAGGAATCTGTTACATATCACATTACAAATCATACATTATCATTTTTCTTAATTTTTTATATTTTTGGAAACAAAAAATATTATGTGTCCCAGAATGTCCTAATTTTTAATGTAATAACACTGCCAATAAAAAAAAATGTATTTCAAAAAATAAATTTATCTTGAAAACAGACCTAACAAAGTTAAAGAAATTTATTTTAAATCACTATTATCTTCTTTAGTTTTACACTTTAATTCGTTATATCTTTTCAATTCGTTGTATCTTTTTATAAGGAGAAATAAAGAGCTTCAAGGCATCTAGATTGACAACTCTAACCATATGGTGTATTTAAACCCTGTTCTCTTTTTCTTTGTATTTACATTTAATCAGGTTGAATTCAAATAAATATATATATACATTTTATGATTTTAATTAAGTATAGAGTTTTCTATTCTGTGCTGTGTACGAAAATTTATTTATAAGCAAAAAAATTAATATTTATAAAGCATAAAATTTGTCATTAAAAACATACGAAGCAATGTCATATGAAGCTATGACATTCAAAATATAAGTAACATGGTATATTCAAATGGTCGATTGAATAATTAAAATGCGACAGTTTGAAAAAGTAACAGGAAAAATTAATCATTAAATAATTTTTGGATCAAAGGTCGGGAACAATACATCGTGACAATAGCAAAGATTGATTTCAATACTTACTTGCAATATGACACTTCTTATCAGTGCATTGACACTGGGCGCGAAGATCTGAGACGTGCTCTGAAAACACCAGAGCACTATACCGCCCTTGCTGAATATCGTGAAGAGATCGAGCATGATTTCGCGAGGCAACCCGACGAGAGAAGATATACGCCTCCGGATATACACAACACACGACGTGTTCCAACCTAACCTAACATATAATATAATTTACTTACACGTCAGACACGAATAAAATCCATAGAATTGTCGACGAGAAGATTACCTGATTTAACGGGTTTTTCTCATAGAGCCAGCAGCGTCCAATCAAGATCTAATTAACACATCCAATCAACATTCAAAACATTCCGTGACCGAAAATCATTGGTCTGTTCTTTTTAGCTGCACTGCGGAACTAGTGCAATAAGTTAGAATGAGACAACTATATTTTTTCTCACTTTAACTTATTGCACCAGTTCAGTAGTGCAGCTAAAAAGAACAGACCACATGGCTGCCATCACAGACTTCTATCAGAGAGAAACCTAAGAGCGGCTACCGGGCGAAAGCATATGTCTGTCCTGATAGGCCCCCTGAGAAAATAGACGTCAACTAACTCGATATGTCGGTAACGATGCGAGGTTTATGTCTATGATTTGAGTCTGGTTAATGTCCGAGCTACTAAAACAGACTATAGTGAAAATGATATATATATATATGAGTAAGAGAAGGATAACAATTGAATCGCTTTGACTTTGTCTCACCACTAGTGAGCAGACACGCGACACAGGCACAAGTAATGCTGGAAATTCTTAGACGCACGGTCGAGACAGAGAGAAGAATGAGAGCGGCCACCGGCCGTATTTCGGGGGATACGGCTAGGCGCATTTTAGATACGACATCTGACCAAAATATGCCTAAACTACGCCCGCTAGGCGCACTTTCGCGGTGATAAAAGTAAAATGCGCCTAGATTCGTGTCCGTACTACTTCCATGCAATGGATAGTAGATTAGAAAAAGACAGACGACAGACAATCGTTCCGTCTTTGTCTCACTACTGAGCGGCGCGCGGCAGTAAACACGAGGCGAGGTAGCGGCGATCTTATCGCTAAGCGAACATCTCTCCGCTTTTCTTTCATCTTTCACGCTTCAGAGACATCAAAAGACGCGGTAGCGTCTCGTGTCAAGGGAACGTGCGAAGTGAGGAATTATTTTTCACGCACGCGAGGTAGCACATGGGAGACTAGACGAGCGTCGACATATTATCCTGTTTCTTTCCCGCTCGTCTAGCTCACTGCGTGAGCCGCGAGATTTTTCTCGCTACTCCTATACCTCGCTCTTTCTCTCTCTCGCTCGTTCTTTCTCTCTCTCGCGCACTTGCTCGCTCTTCCTCTCTTCTCGTGTTCTTACGGCTTGATTAAATATATTAATTACATGACAATATATATATAAATAAATGACACATATATAGTGTATATGTATATAAAGAATATTTAGTATTAATGCACAAATAAAGAAGAGAGAATTATAATGAGAGACGAAAAGTTAATAGAAATCCGCTCTTAGCCAATATATACATCTTTTAAAAATGATTTGTTATTAAAGTATATGACAGAATAATTTATTTATGCTAGTAAATTAAAATTAAAAATTAAATGAAATGTTATTTGTTTTGTAAAAAATATTCCATTGTTACATTTTTCTTTTCGCAGCAAAAATAAATTTAGTCTAATAAAAAAAGAAATTAGTTTTATTATCATATTTCAATTACTTTATTATTTAATTTTACGAATAGATAACGTGCATATTGTTGCTCAACGGAAACCGCGAGAAAATGGTGATCTCCGTCAAAAAATAAATGCAAACTTTTTAATAATATAATAAGTTTTTTACGTAAGTGTTCGTTTTTATAATATAACCTGTTGAATTTTATTAATTATTAATTCAGCATGTTATAGTATAAAAAATATATTTTAATATAAAAATTAATGTAATATTAATTGTTTGCATTTGCAAGAAATATGGATAGTACAGGATAGATTGCAATGATACATAGGAAGAAAAAAGATAGATGGATAAATAGATAGATAGATAGATATAGAGATAGATATAGATGGATAAATAGATAGACAGATAGATAGATAGATAGATAAGTAGATAGATGGATAGATAGATATAGAGAAATAGATAGATAGATAGTTAGATAGTATAGAAAAAAAGATAAATAGAAATATAATTATCATTATTATTATTATTAATGTTTTCAATTTCAAGAGAACATTCGCTTAAACGTAAGTCTTACTTAGGTCCAGCTACGAGTGTTAACACTCGTAAAGTCAGCCGAATTTTAAACATCTCGTAGAAACAAGTGCTTCAACTCATCAATATAAATGTAGAGGAAAGTAACCGAAACAGCCAAAAACCTCCTACAGAAAGGAAGAGATTTGAGCAGAAATTCATATTCAGTAGCTTCGAGACATTAAGTCAATTAGACATTCCATGTTAATGTAAGTTGCATATTAAATAATAATCATTCATTGTTAATCTCTTCTCTGCTTCGCATTTATTTTCGAGCTTTTTGCATTATGTTTCAAATCAGCATGTTAATCTTTGACTTGTGAAAGGAATTGTTCAATTAACAATTGAAACTTAGAGAATGTAATGAAAGGCCATATATCATTGATAATTGATATAAGCAATTTCAATCGGTTCAATCGAAGAGCGTTCCATTGTGTAGGTTACAATTGGTTATATAGATAATATTTATAATCGTAACATCGTGAAAGATGCCGATGATTGAAAAATGCTAAGATTTAGTTTCATAATTTATTTTAACCGAAGTTTAAGACTTATTGAGACAAACTTGCATAGTCGTATTGTTCATATGCATAACTGAAGTAGAACAAATAATTATATAAAAGTGAAGATGATGTCAAAATTAAGTCAAAATAATTTTGACGTTATCTTGACCTTTGATGATTATTTGTCTAGAGAAGGAAACAGATTAATTAAATGTAAAATATGTCTAATATAAAGGGCACGCTTGTACGGATTATGATTGGTTGATTTCCTTGTGCATATCAATGATGTGATTATGTAATTTTGTTTAGATAGGCTTTTAAAGAGTTGTCTTATTCAACCCGACAAAAAATACGTATATTTCGTTAATCTTTTTTGCGGAAGCGAAAAAGATCACATGATTAAAAGATTACGGGTTTTGAGAGTTTGCTTAATGATGTTTGAAGAATATATATACATTTTTCTACAAGTATGTAAGGTTAAAAATATATAAAATATTGCAGTAAAAGCAAAGAGGTTGCAAATAGACGATTCCAAGGAATTTTTAATGTGTGTGATTTAATTTTACACAATTATTTAAAGTAGCTTTTTATTTTCTATAAGTATAGCTATCGTCTGAACTACAATCGGAACACAAATAATAAAATGGTAGCATTTAGAATAAAAATCGTCTATTTCTGGCCTCTCGGTAAAGTTTAATAAAAAATATTAATTATTAATGAATTTGGTTAATTATAATTAAAACGGTAAAGAGAAGCCTATTTTATAATGCTGCCAAGTTGCAAGTCGATTGGTCAAATAGTTATTGAGATATCGTGCGCACCATGGAACCTCCTTGCATTCACTGCAATATTTTTCATATTTTTAATCTTATATGTAGAAATTTATATACATTCTTTACAAACATCACATTAAACAAACACTCAAAACAAAAATCCTATAATCTTAAAGAAACAGGATATTAATCTAAAAAATAGAAACGATCAGAAATAACCGCTCGGTACTTTTAATATTAACGAATTATATTCCGGTTAAAATAATATAAATCGTATAATATATTCCGGTTAACATAATATAAGTCGTATAATATATTCCGGTTAATATAATATAAGTCGTGAAACTGGACCTAAGTAAGACTTACGTTTAAGCGAATGTTCTCTTTACTGAAAACATTAATAATAATAATAATGATAATTATATTTCTATTTATCTTTTTTCTATACTATCTAACTATCTATTTCTCTATATCTATCTATCCATCTATCTATTTATTTATCTATCTATCTGTCTATCTATTTATCCATCTATATCTATCTATCTATCTATCTATTTATCCATCTATCTTTTTTCTTCCTATGTATCATTGCAACCTATACTGTTCTATCCATATTTCTTGCAAATGCAAACCATTAATATTACATTAATTTTTATACTAAAGTATATTTTTTATACTATAACATGCTGAATTAATAATTAATAAAATTCAACAGGTTATACTATAAAAATAAATACTTACGTAAAAAAATTATTATATTATTAAAAAGTTTGCATTTATTTTTTGACGGAGATCACCATTTTCTCGCGGTTTCCGTTGAGCAACAATATGTACGTTATCTATTCGTAAAAATAAATAATAAAGTCGTAATTGAAATATGATAATAAAACTAATTTCTTTTTTTACTAGACTAAATTTATTTTTGCTACGAAAAGAAAAATGTAGCAGTGGAATATCTTTTACAAAACAAATAACATTTCATTTAATTTTTAATTTAAATTTATTAGCATAAATAAATTATTCTGTCATATACTTTAATAACAAATCATTTTAAAAAAATGTATATATTGGCTAAGAGTGGATTTCTATTAACTTTTCGTCTCTCATTATAATTCTCTCTTCTTTATTTGTGCATTAATACTAAATATTCTTTATATACATATACACTATATATGTGTTATTTATTTATATATATATTGTCATGTAATTAATATATTTAATCAAGCCGTAAGAACACGAGAAGAGAGGAAGAGCGAGCAAGTGCGCGAGAGAGAGAAAGAACGAGCGAGAGAGAGAAAGAGCGAGGTATAGGAGTAGCGAGAAAAATCTCGCGGCTCACGCAGTGAGCTAGACGAGCGGGAAAGAAACAGGATAATATGTCGACGCTCGTCTAGTCTCCCATGTGCTACCTCGCGTGCGTGAAAAATAATTCCTCGCTTCGCACGTTCCCTTAACACGAGACGCTACCGCGTCTTTTGATGTCTCTGGAGCGTGAAAGATGAAAGAAAAGCGGAGAGATGTTCGCTTAGCGATAAGATCGCCGCTACCTCGCCTCGTGTTTACTGCCGCGCGGCGCTCAGTAGTGAGACAAAGACGGAACGATTGTCTGTCGTCTGTCTTTTTCTAATCTACTATCCATTGCATGGAAGTAGTACGGACACGGATCTAGGCGCATTTTACTTTTATCACCGCGAAAGTGCGCCTAGCGGGCGTAGTTTAGGCGTATTTTGGTCAGATGGCGTATCTAAAATGCGCCTAGCCGTATCCCCCGAAATACGGCCGGTGGCCGCTCTTATTCTTCTCTCTGCTTATAATGTGTGAGTGGCGTTGGAGCATTTATTGTATGCACAGAGCCATCTATTGAAGAAGAAGAAAAAGATTTCCTAACCTTATGCATGTTATTTTTCAGATTTTTATAACTTTTGATCCGTTTGAGAGCAACACTTTTTTCTTGCCAAATCACATTCTACGCACCAAAATACACAATTGTGGAAAGTTTCACCGCAATTGATGAGGAGGCCTGTATTCTTCACAATTACCAAAATTATTTATATAAATATTCTTAATTTAAGTATTTTCATGAAGTTGCTGCACTACGCTACATTAGTACAGTAAATGCAACTATAATGAACAGATTTTACATTGCAATGACAGGTTTCTTAACCTATCGTATCTATTATCTTTAACAATTTATTTTTCGCAAAATAAAGCCGAGCGACGATTTTAAGTTATAAATTCGGCTTCTACATGTCAAAATACATAAGATAAGTGAGTTTAAGCGAAATCCAAGGTGTTATCAGACTTCTAAATAATTACCAAATATTTTTTCATCGATATTGGAGGTGGAGAGGGTATTCTGTATAATTACCAATTGTACTTTTGGAAATTATACCTTTAAATCTACTAACATCCATTTTCTAAAAATCAATCACTCCAAAGTTGCATTCTCTAACTGCAACCATTCTTCTTAATCTATGACGTCAGACGTATTTTGTTACTCGTAACTCGACAAAAAAGTTTTGAGATTTTTGGGCGAGGAAGCAGTGTAACAAGACCTACCGTTGCTTTTTCATACATATGTATATTGATAATTTAAACTTGCTCTACATTGTTAACAGTGCTCTCTACTTTCCTTTTCCTTTAAGTTTTTTCCTTTTTCTTTAATTTTACAATGCTAATATCTTTAAATATTAAAAATTGTTCCTGTATTCTCATATTTTTAATGGAACATAATTAGCAGATAATAACATACAATTTATTAATATCAATGTATTTATTAATTACATATTTTCATGTTAGCAACAAAGCAAATAATTAAACGAGAGAATAATCACGCAAAAATCAAGGCTCGATAAATACAATTTTCGTAGAAATAAATCAACTCTATAAGGAATATATTTTTTCATTTCTTACAACTAATGTTCGAGTTGATTTGTATTGTACTAAATAGCGTATCATTAAATCATTATGTGTGTGTGTGTGTGTGTGTGTGTGTATGTATGTACGCATGCGTACGTAAGTGTGTATAATATATTCGTCGTTAAAAAGTCCCCCAATCAATATTAATTCACCTACTTCACAAAATATTTATCGAATGATCGTTACAGTTGTTATGGTGTCGCGTGACAACGAATACACACCATATATATATGTTATACTTGGTAATTTCAACTAATGTATGTGCAATTCTCTCGTAGTCACTGTCATGTCTTTAACATCATGCAAGGTTTATCGGTTGAAGAATTTATTTCCAGAAAATATCTTAGGTTCATATTTCAAAAAAAGAAAATGCATTAGTAAATGTATGAAATTACTCTCCATTATCTACACAAATATTATTTTTATTTCTTTTTAATTTGTATTTAATTCGTCTGGCAGGTTGAAGAGAGAAATTTTAGAGCAAATTATTGAAATCATTAAATGTTAGAGATAAATAAGTAATATTTAAATAATCCGATATTTAAAGATAATATAGAGTTCTTATTTTTCTTTTAAATATATTCACACATTCTTAATTTTTCTGTATATTTAGGAACTCTATAGTTAAAACATTTTTTTTTTTAATAATCTATTTGATCTAAAACAATTTAGGGAAGTAAGTTGTTTACATTTGTGTGTGTGTATGTGTGTGAGAGAGAGAGAGAGAGAGAAATATAACATAAATTTAAAACTCTGAAGGTTTAATTCGTAGGATCACAGGAATACTGGTGCATGGCAGAATGGCCAATTCCGTGACGACAGCAGTAATGAGATCGGCTGGTGTTACGTCATATGTGATGTTTAAGAGATTCAGCGACTTTCTCGCCCGCCAGTTGGTGAACAGAGACTTTCTCGAATTACCATATTGATTCGAAGTTACGAGATCATCCGCATTCCCTGAAATGATAGGAATGAAAGAAATGAACAAGTATAATAGTCATTAAGCTATGTAGAAGACATGAGATTAAAACTGAATTAAATTGAAATTAAAGATTATAAAAAGTGAATAAATCAATTGAGTAAAATGTATATATAAGTGACGGGTGAACAAAGTTGGTAACTCTAGTAAGATATATATATATATATATATCTTACCGGCCAAACCCGATTTCAGGATAAACTAGTTTCGTCTAGGCCAAACTAGTTCCAAAGTGCAGTAGGATGAATCAGTTTTGCCTAATCCAAATTATATTCTCCTATGTGTATTGTAAAAGTATAATAAAATGAAAAATATAAAGTATATTTTAAAGTTGTAATAGAGTTAAACACAATAGTACATAGTAATGGAAAATTGCATGTAATACATTATATGTGTGAATCAAATAGATTTTTTAATGCTTACCAAGTTCATTATACACGATGGAATCAGTCTGCACTCGTCCACATGTCTTATGCGTCTCACACGCTACTAAAACCGGTACGTTGAAGGCTTTGGCTATCAAAGCGATTTGCGAAGTTCCGACTCGCGACATCACCGCGCCATTGGCCAATATTGCGTGAGCACTAAGAAAGACTTTGCTAACCTAGTCAATGATGAAATAATTTGTCATATAAATAACATTATTACATATTTGTTAACACGTTGCACAAAAAAATAAATATAATAGCTCAGTGTAAGAGAGGATAGAAGCCGAGGCATACAAACATATCAAAGTAATGAGAATATAAACAAGTTGAATTTTTAAAGAATTCTTTTTAGCGTTTTAATGACGAAAGTTGAAATTTATCGAAATAAAATTTGCTTTATTTGTGTATTTTCAGCTTTTCAATTCACATCCTGCGTTAGTCAGCTACGCATTACTTACTTCTGACATAATGAAGCTCACAGCGTTGATGAACATATATGAACAATTGATTCCATGTTTCGCTAAACGTTTCAATTGTTCTCTTCCTTCTAGCCACGGTCTGCCGTCGACTACGATAACGCGGAATTGTTTACCCGCAGCATGTGCATCCACTAATATATTATAGATTAAGGATGAGCTAAAATTTTATACCGTTGAGAATTAGACTGTTTGATATCATCAGAAAACATATTTTCTACTTATAAGTAAGTAAAAAACTTATAAGCTATATATAATTTGAAAAATCCATTCTTATAAATTCGATACTTACAATCCGTAAATTAAAATGATATTTCCGTTTGATATCTTAGTCTGAATAGTTATGGATATTGCTTTGCCAGCCAGTTGAATTTGTTCCATTATGTAGGTGTCTATTATACCTGTTAGCTTGGTTTTCGCCTGAGAAATAAATAAGAAATCCTTGAGAGATAGACAATAAAATTCCAATTAAGAATTAATAATGTCGTAATTACTTGTTCTTCCATGATTATAAAGAAAAGCTAACATACAATATAAAACTAAAATATTTTATAAAAATTTTTTTTATTATACAGGGTGCCAAATTTCAAACGTAACAGGTAAAAAACCTCGAAAACTATGAGATATTAAAAAAGCTAAAACACGTGTTCCATGATTTCGAAGAGAAAAGAGAATGGCATTATCAGCTTTATTTGGAGGGCATTTTCAAGGTCAGTTGAAGGTCAACTTAATTTTTTTAAATAAAAAGCCCAATTTTTTATATCTTCTTTTTCTACCAATTAATTTTAACAACTTTTGTCTGAAACATTTTTTTATTTGCCTAATATTTTTTGAAATATTTAAGGAAAACTTGGTAACTTTTTCAACATTTAACTTACGATATCTTGCTAACTATTCGTCGAAAGAAAAAATAGTATTAGACTTTTTTATTTTATTTACTATCAAGAATATATTACTGTAATAGTGCCCTAACTTTTGTTAATTTATCGACCTTTGAAAATTTCAAAATTATTAAATTAACAAAAATTAGGGCAATATTATAATAATATATTCTTAATAGTAAATAAAGTAAAAAGTCTAATACTATTTTTTCTTTCGACGAATAGTTAGCGAGATATCGTAAGTTAAATGTTGAAAAAGTTACCAAGTTTTGCTTAAATATTTTTAAAAATATTAGGCGAATAAAAAATGTTTCAGACAAAAATTGTTCAAATTAATTGGTAGAAAAAGAAGATACAATAAAAATTGGGCTTTTTATTTAAAAAAATTAACTTGACTTTCAATTGACTTTGAAAATGCCCTCCAAGTAAAAAACTGATAATACCATTCTCTTTCCCCTTCGAAATCATGGAACATGTGTTTTAGCTTTTTTTTAATATATTTCATAGTTTTCGAGATAATCAGCTGGAAAATTTCCAAATGAACACCCTATATATAGTGTCCCAATACTTTCATATAAAAATACCTAAATATTTCTTTTATTTTTAATGATATAAGAAATTATTATATATAAGAAATGATATAAGAAATTATATTAGAACACAATGTGAATAGTTTCAAATGAGGAATTTCGTGGAAGAAACATTTTTTTATAGTCTGTCTCAAATTTTTTAAAGGTTTCCAGTATTTTTTGCAGGAAAGCATATTTTTTCTATAACATTTTATAGAGTATGTTGAAGTGCATCGAAGTAGTTGTATGAATTATGACCGTGAGATGACTTTGAATATAGAAAAGCAGAAACAAGTTCCAAAAAAGTGTTAGGATAATATGATATTGTTAAAAACAAAAGAGATATTTAGTTCTCTTTGGGATATTCACTGGGACACTGTATAATTATGGAGTCGATTTTCTCTTCCCCCCTGAACAAAAGCACTCACCTCACATGTCGACATAGTGACCGAGAAATTCGTCATGTGCCACTTGAGATGACGCATTGCGTTTTGCATTGAAACAGCCACCGGCCGACAACGATGTAGGTACGCGAGCAAATCCCGCAGACATATCTCGAGGCTACGAGTGAAGTCAGCCTGTTCCGGCTTCTCAAAATCCAGGATTACCTGCTTGACAGCTGCCAATAGCGCAACACACCTCGCATTGCTGCCGACGATTGTTCTGCCCGTGTACTGCGCGCCCAAACCTATGATTGCCGGATGAATATTCGAATTGATGGGCACGCTGGCCAAAGAGAGCTCCCTTTCATTATATAGGTGCTGGAACAGGTTCACCTGGTGGTCATTACTTTTCTTCACAATTTTTTTTACACTCACAGCTTCGACAACCACTTGCTGTGCACGCAGTTTTTCTGAAGGAGTTTCTTGGCTCCTTTCGTTGCTCTTCGTTGAGGATAGTTGCTGCTTTGCTGAGATTTGTTGAAGCTGCTTCGCCGCTCTCTGAGCCTCCTGCTTAGCTCTTCGTTCCGCACGCAATTCCGCCTTGCTCTTGCCCTCGGCTTTACCGTCGGCTTTATCGTCGGAAATCGCGTTGTCTAGCCTAGAAACGGCCGGAGACGTAACATTTGCGGCTTGAGCGATCGGAGATTGCCTAGTCGCGCTTTTTATGGAACTCTCCTCGGTTTCTTTCGCAGCTTGGAGACTCTGTGACATTGTTGTATATATTGTTAGACGATGTTGAAAAGATCTCCTTAAAGCCACAACACCTAGTTATATGCAGATATAATAAGTTAAGTTGAGCCAGGTGATAGATCTTAAGAGAACTTTTTTCAACAATGTCTAGAAATATATAAAGATGCACTAAGTTAGGTTAAGTTAGGATTTGTTTGGGGTGCGGGAGAGAGACGAAGCCCCTCTCCCGCTTATATGTACTATTTCCTATATTTAAAGTGAATGAAAACTGCTTATCTACTTCACATATACTTCAACGTACAATTATGAAACTTTAAAGTCAAATATCTCAGAAACTATAAGCGACTCCCATACCCAGATAGCACACAATATTCTATGAATATTCTTACGAAGTACGAATGTTCTATTTTTAGAATATTCGAATAGGATATTCTATGAATGTAAGTAGAACATACTACCGACTTCCTTTTTCGAATATTCTCACCAATATATTTTGTGGATGTCCTGTGGATGTCCGATGTATGTCCATGTTCCTTTGACATTCGAAGTTGTGCCAAACGTATATTCTATGAACGTCTTTCGTAACAAAATAAACGTGCAATGAATATCCATTGAATGTCCGTTTGCTATATGGGTATATTGTGCGTTCACATCAGTAATTCGCGCCGTACGTCTACAAAGTCGCCATCTATACACGACAAAGTGAATTACGACACCGAACTTCGTTGTCTCCAGACTCTGTTTTCGCTATGCCCTTTCGCCAACATTTCTTGACATAGGGCCGTATTCATAGTCAGATCTTATATTTAAGACCGTCTTGAGTACACGTTCAGATATTTTGTAGCCAATGAAATGATCTATACAGCATCTGAAGATGGACTTAAGACAATCTTAAATATAAGACCGGACTACGAATACAGGCCATAATCTTAATCAAAGGTAATCTTCCTCTTTCTTTTGTAAATCATATTGTATCAAACATTAAATAAAGTGTAAGAATAGTTTCTTATATATTTTGTATCATATGTTTCACGCATCTTTAATAGTTCGTCAGTAAAACACTGCATAAAATTGGAGGTTATACTTTTAGAAAATTTTACAAGCAACATATATAAATATTTATTTATATTCTTATTCTAATATGAAACTCTTTATATGTTGCAGCAAAGAGAAACTTTTCAACATAGATACACAGTCGCAATACAGCCGTGTTAGCGACTTCTTACGACGTGCGTCATTCTTTCATGTTATAAAGTACTTTGTTATTTGTGTTCCGTCATCCGACATGTGAACAATAAGAGACACATATATCTAGTGTGGGACACGAAAAGTAAGTACAAATTAATAGCGTTTGCTATTGAGAAAACAAGAATAGCACTAGTGCAATAAATTCAGGAATAAAAAGGTTGTTACTACTGTTTCGATGCAGTTTGGAGCACAGCTAAATTGTTCAATGAAAGAATAAGTGATTTGAGAAAATTTTCAAAATGAGTTCTTTTTAGGTTAATTAGCTGCATTCTAAACTGCATCGAATAGTGACAACCTTTTGTTCATAACTGTATTACACCAGTGCTGTATTAGTTTTACCAATAAGAAACGCTATACAAAAAGGAAATAGGAATGATTTTAGCTCATTCTACAATGGTTGTGAACATATGACTATAAGACTGTCAGGAGTGAAATGAATTATTTGCATTTGCTGATAGCTTACGTTACAGCCTTATGCCATATACTTACAACTATGAATAGGCTTTGTTACGTCATAATATAAAGCATGGAAAATATAGCAAAGAATTAATTTACAGATGTATTTAAGGGGACCAACTCGGTTACAAAGTCAAAATTTTCGATTTTTTTTTTTTTCAAAAATCGATAGTAGTATTCGTAGAGAAAATATTCCTAAAGCTATAAAGCGAAATTCGAAGTCGTTCGGTAGATACAGCTCACGAAACAGGTACGCGTCACGTAGGTACGCGTGACGTACGCACGGCGAGAGCGCTTAGCGACGCTCCGTCTCTCGGTCTCTCGCACAGGACTATCGTTTCGGCAGATGTTGAGTCAGTGTTTGTGAACACTGATCTGTTGTGTAGTCTGCATATGTGTTTGTTTGTATAAGTGTAATCGAGGCAGCTGTTTCAAACACAACGGATTTTTGAAAAGTCCTTCGTTTCGAGGCGGTTATTGCTAACAGTCAGTCGAGCCCCATTGTTCGGTGTGTGAAGACGTTCCTATGTGAAAACAATAAAGTGTATCCAAAAGGAAAAAAAGAAGAGTCAGCACGTGCATCAAGACCGCGAAAGAGACAGTTTCATGGCAATAAATTTACGAAAGAGGATAAGGATGTGGAGCAGAGTGACACCGCTAAAAAATTTAAAAGTGCGAGTAGTGATGATATAATTTATGATCCACTACATTATTATAGAATTGTAGAATTTGTAACTGTTTTTGGCGCGCTCGCGGAGTTGCTTATTTGTAGACAATGCAAGCAAAATGTAAAGTTTGAAGAATCCGGAAACCGTGGTCTCGGTTTTAAACTTATTGTTCGATGTACTTGTGGTCGTAAAGAAATCGATTCAGGGCCGTTGATTAATACTAGCTATGAAATTAACCGAAGAATCGTTTTCGTTATGCGACTATTAGGCATCGGCCGAGAAGGTATAAATATATTTAGTGGACTTATGGACATCGGTCAAGGTATAAGCACGAGTTCATACACTATAAGTGTGCAACATATATACACAGCAGCACGTTCGATGTTTGATATTTTCTGCAAAAAAGCCAGTGAAGAGGAACAAATTGAAAATGTCAACAAAGGAAGACCTCCAACAGAGTTCAAAGTATCTGGCGATGGTTCGTGGAAGAAACGTGGGTTTACTTCGTTATACGGTGTAACGACCCTCATTGGATATTATACTGGCAAAATCATAGACCTCGTCGTAAAAAGCGGATACTGCCAAGCCTGTACGTTTTGGAATAAAAAGAAAGGTACTGACAAATATATTGAGTGGTACGAACAGCACAAAGAAGAGTGTTTTGCAAACCATTCCGGTTCCGCAGGTAAAATGGAGGTCGACGCCGTGCAAGAAATGTTTATGAGGTCCAAGGAGAAATTCGGCGTGGCGTACACTAATTATATTGGAGACGGTGATTCCAAAACGTATAAAGCCATTTTAGATCTAAATCCATATGGCGATGATCTCCCGGTAGTGAGAAGTGAGTGCGTTGGACATGTAGAGAAACGGATGGGCACGCGGCTCCGAAATGTAAAAACAAGGGAAAAACTTGGTGGAAAAGGAAAATTGACCAATGTCCTTATTACTAAATTAACAAAACATTATGGATTAGCAATAAGGCGAAATGTAGATTCCGTTGCCGGAATGAAGAAAGCTATAATGGCAACACTTCATCATTTATGCTCCACAAATGAAAATCCGAAGCATGACAATTGTCCGGCCGGGGCCGACAGCTGGTGCAAGTGGCGTAAGGCTGAGGCGGCAAGTAAAGATTTCAACCATCCCCCTCCACTTCATCCAGAGGTCGTAAAACATTTGCTCCCAATTTATAAGGACTTTTCCAAGGAACAGCTTTTGACAAGATGTTTAGGCGGACACACACAAAACTCCAACGAGAGTTTTAATTCAACTATCTGGCGCCTAGTCCCAAAACATTTACATTCGGGATCAAAAATTATAGAAATCGCCGCCTTCATTGCTGCGGGTGTGTTTAATGAAGGATACTCGTCAATTTTAAAAATAATGAATGTCCTAGACATAAAAATTGGGCAACAATGTAGATGTTTCGCCGACAACTACGAGACGCAGCGAGTGCAGCAGAAAGAGCGCCGCAGATCAAGCAGCACACAGGAGGCTCGAACAGCTCGTAGAATTCTGCAAATGGAACAGCACGAGTTCTATGAGGAAGCGGAAGGCTTGCTGTATGCGCCTGGTATAGCAGATTAGCCTATGACTGCTGTAAGTATTGAATAACCATGACTTTTTCGTATCAAAAACTTTAAACGCGTTTTTCTCAACATCACTTCTTTCAAACTGGCGTGCACGATACAGAAAAATTTATTCGACCGATCGACATCTGCCGGCGATTTTTTCTTAACTAATTACCAACCATCGTCGATGAACTCAAAACATTTATAAAAAACATTACATTAATCAATTATTTTTGCAAAAGTAAATCGAAATTTTGTCGTAAAAAGTCGTACCTTTACCTTTACAATCTTGCATTTTTTGTAATTCTATACTTTTGTCTTAGTTTTTTAAGTTCATCGACGATATAATTCTATAACAAATAAGAAAAAATCTGGTTCATATGTTTCAGACAAGAATTGGATCCGCTATCATGCACGCCAATTTACAACTCCTGCGGCGCAGCGCTGCGAAGACATTCTCATATCGCGATATTATATGCATAATGTTTAAATATTATAAATTTTGTTTATTGCCTAAACATCGACTAAAATACCTGTAAAGTTTTAAAAAGATTCGCTTTACTGTTGTTTAGATAAAAATTCACAAAAATCACCAATTTTTCCGCGTCCTAACCGAGTTGGTTAGGACGGGAGTTGGTCCCCTTAAATGAAGTACTCTTACATGTATGAATATATGTAATTACCAAAAAAATCCTATAATTATTTGTATAAGTTATAAGTTTAAAACAATCTGTTTGTTATTTTACTGTAAGTTGAAATTATATACCATTGTATTGTAATACATATAACGCATGTTATAACATATGTGTTGTATAACAGTTATATTGTTAAGTAGGAAATTACAACTAACATGCACGTTACATGTAACATTGTGTTTGCTGGGAAGCAACTATAATGCGATATTTTATAACTATCCTATTCGAGGACAATTTTACTGAAACATCTACAGTTTAAGTTACATATACTATAATATACTATAGATTTCTAGTAAAATTTTCCTCGAAATAGACGTTTTAGAATGCAGCCTAAGTAATTTATAAAAACAGCTTCGAAATACACACGAAACATTTATACAATATATAATATATGTAGTAACAATTATATAATATATGTAGTAAGTATACCATAAAACATTTTGAGATTATCTCGGATGTATTCGACGTTTTATAATACTCCCTGAACATATTCAGAATAATTTTGAGTATTAATTTTCTGATTAAGAATTCTATAAAATACGTTTTGAAAGATACTGAATAATATAAGTGATTATTTCCAAGTCCCAAATAGTCTTGGAACAAACCAAAATATATATTGTATATTTCCAAGTCGGTCCTCAAATTAGCCGTCGGATATAAAAAAAGTTCCATGCCGTACCTCAAACTTACAAAAAGTCCTGGAATTAATCATCTGACATCAGAAATGGACCTGGAATATGACATAAGCCCTATGACATATATATATATATATCCATATAGCCATATTTGCAGATAACAAAATCCCACAGCAGATCCATAGCCTATTATGTCCGTATTAAGCTCGTGTTCTGTACACAGCGTTTGTTGAAATAACCTTATGGCAGGTTGACGGCAAGAATGGTCATTCCTATCGCTAATCTGTCATCAGATTATTTCAACAAACACAATCCATAGAACACGAGCTTAATGCGGACACAGTAGGCTATGGATTCTGCTGTAAGATTTTGTTTTCCGCAGACTGATATATTTATACAGGGTGTTTGATAGCTGATCATGCAGACGAAAGTTGGAGATAAATTGGGTGTAGCCGAGAAGAAAAGTCATGTACCATAATGTCAAATTGGCAATAGTTACCGAGTTATTAATTAAAACATGTGAGCCAACGAGCGCGCAGAGAGCGGAGGGCGGCCGCAGTAAGCATGTAGACATTTGATACAGGCGGAGTCAGCGAGTGATGGTAGGCAAGCGCGCGCGGCAAGGGGCAACGTAAGCGACAATAGGCGATTGCGCGCGACGAGGAGCGAGCGAGCTTTTTCTTTGTAGCTTTTTCCTTATAGCTCGCTCGCTCCTCGTCGTTCGCGCTCGTTCGTTCTTCGTCGCATTCGCTCGCCTCTTATCGCTTGCGCTCGCTCGTCGTTCGTGCTCGCTCGCTCCTCGTCGTTCGCGTTCGCTCGCTCTTCGTCGCGCTCGCTCGCTTTTTGTCGCTTGCGCTCGCTCGCTCCTCGTCGCGCGCGCTCGCCTTTTGTCGTTTACGTTGCCTCTCGCCGCGCGCGCTCGCCTATCGTCACTCGCTGACTCCGCCTGTATCAAATGTTTACGTGGTTACTGCAGCCGCCCTCCGCTCTCTACGCGCTCGTTGGCTCACATGTTTTAATTAATAACTCGATAACTATTGGCAATTTGACATTATGGTACATGACTTTTCTTCTCGGCTTCACTCAATCTATCTCCAACTTTCATCTGCATGATCAGCTATCAAACACCCTGTATATTTATATAAGATATACATATATAATATTAATCATTTTATAAGCACTGATCAACTTTTAAATGGTAATAAAGAGAGTACAATTGTTAATTTTAACTTTGACAGCTGCTGTAAAATCATTATCTACTTCACAATCTGCAATCAGAAATAAATGTGCAGTTGAATCAACAGCAGTAAGAAAATCTAATGAGAAAGAAAATCGTGAATATCTACTTCCAATAAATCTTCATATGAAACTATACAACTATCTGATTATCTGTATGGTAATATTATATCTTCTTTAAGTTTTCCTAAACAAATAGCTACATATGTATTTTTTCTTTAATGTATATTATAATCATGAACAATGGTTTGCAGTTATGTGTGCTGTCTATAATAATGGACATTACTAATCTAAGTATATTTACGAAATACTTTGTTTCAGATGCTAATTTCAAAAAACAAGTATTACGACAATTGCAAATAATTAATATCAGACAACAACAAATGTCAGAAGATATTATATTATTGATGTCAGTATATTATTGATGAAAGCAAATTCAGAGAAAAATGAACCGATTGTTTCAAATAAAGATTCTATATTTAAAACTTATAATTTCCCTCTGAAAACTGTAGCAGAATTGGAAGAACTAGAAGAATTTTTAATCCAGAATGAAAATTTCAACACTTTTGTAAGTAAATTCATTTACTAATATATTCTGAGTGTATTTATAATTTATACAAATTTATAATTGTTGTTTAGGTCAAAGAAATTTTACAAATTGGGGGAACATCTTACAAAAATATGGTGAAACGTATATTGCCAAGAATAATGTCTAATGATTTGGCGAAGACATATAGTTGGATAGGTTTTAAAGGAAAACAGAAGTTCTCGAATCTTCGAACTTGCTCAGCAATATTAACAGCTACTCAAAAAACGCACGGTTGTTCCAAATCTACGAAGATGTAATCAAATATTGGCTTGTAAAAGCTACTGAACGACAAAAGCAATCATAGAAAGAAAAGATATCGTAAGATTGTTTCCTTCCAAGTAAAAGAACATTGACTGTTCAACATTTTCGAAGTTTGTTTAATAATTAATAACATGTTCGACATATATTTACTAATTATTCATTTCTTTAACAATTATTCATTTCTGTAATATTTGTGCATTTCTAAAACATCTTACATTCTGAAATTATCTTTTACTTTTGAATGTTGAAGTGATGATATTTTATGAGAAATGTTTTCAGCTTGCTTTTTGTTACACGAGACTCATTGTTACGATAATTATACCACATTAATCCTTTAATACTAGAAATTATCTAAGGGATCAAAAGTAACTTGTTTGACATCCTTTTAAACATTGTTTATGTATAAAACATGTTAAGTTTTGCAGTTTTCCCACAATTTTATACATGGTTAATTGTATAATGCTTTTGTTTTTCTAATATATGCATAGATTTATACAGAGTGTTTGATAGCTGATCATGCAGACGAAAGTTGGAGATAGATTGGGTGTAGCCGAGAAGAAAAGTCATGTACCATAATGTCAAATTGGCAATAGTTATCGAGTTATTAATTAAAACATGTGGGCCAACGAGCGCGTAGAGAGCGGAGGGCGACCGCAGTAAGCACATAGACATTTGATACAGGCGGAGTCAGCGAGTGACGGTAGGTGAGCGCGCGCGGCGAGGGGCAACGTAAACAACAAGAGGCGAACGCGCGCGACGAGGAGCGAGCGAGCGCGAACGACGAGGAGCGAGCGAGCGCAAGCGACAAGAGACGAGCGAGCGCGACGAAGAGCGAGCGAGCGTGAACGATGAAGAGCGAGCGAGCGAGCTATAAGGAAAAAGCTGTAAAGAAAAAGCTCGCTTGCTCCTCGTCGCGCGCGATCGCCTCTTGTCACTTACGTTGCCCCTCGCCGCGCGCGCTCGCCTATCGTCACTCGCTGACTCCGCCTGTATCAAATGTCTACGTGCTTACTGCAGCCGCCCTCCGCTCTCTACGCGCTCGTTGGCTCACATGTTTTAATTAATAACTCGATAACTATTGGCAATTTGACATTATGGTACATGACTTTTCTTCTCGGCTATACCCAATCTATCTCCAACTTTCGTCTACATGATCAGCTATCAAACACCCTGTATATATATATACAGGGTGGGTGGTTGTAAGTTTACAATCTGAAGTGTACAGGTAGATTACATTAAGACAAACATAAAAGTCCCATACCGTTTACCGAGATTCGCAATAATTATCGAGTTATTAATGACAGAAATCTTGAAGAGTGGGAGCGCGCCGGCGTAGATGATTGAAGAAACGTTGAAGCTGCTCAGGCTACGGCTCGGCCCAGCAACTGTGGGCGGCGTGCGGCGAGACGTAATTCCGACGAGATAAAACAACGAATAGCGGCGCGTTGTCCTTCCCCTCGTCTTCCCGCTATGTCGGCGCGCTTCTACTCCTCAGATTTCTGTCATTAATAACTCGATAATTATTGTGAATCTTGCAACACGGTATAGGACTTTTATGTTTATCTTAACCCAATCTACCTTCACACTTCGGGTTGGCAGCTTATAACCGGCCACCCTATAAATGCGCGTTTTCGTCACGCGTTCTCCTCGCGGAGATGATTATCGGTGCTATCCTTTCCATACCACCTAGCGGTAGATAGCATGGCGCGTTTTTTTATAGTGGTATCCCCAGGAGGCCTAATCCACTGTACATTAATGTATTAATGTAAAAACTGCTCGAAGTGCCGTCCTTCTTCTCGCATACAAAATTTGGCTCTTCGTTTAATATCGCGCGTTGCTCGGTGCGTCATTTCCGGCGTGATAGTATTGAAGGCCGCGACAATTACCTCACGTACTTCTTGTTCTGTACCATCACGCCGCTGTTCGATTAAATTCTTAACGTGACCCCATAAGAAATAATCGAGCACATTAAGGTCAGGAGATCGCGGCGGCCAGGTGATCGGACCACCTCGACCTATCCACCTTTCCGGGAAACGCGTATGTAATATATCTCGCACTTGCCGGCTAAAGTACGCAGGAGCTCCATCATGTTGAAAGATCAACTCCGCTTGTGCCTGTAGAGGGACGTCCTCGAGTAGCCCTGGGAGTTGATTTTTGATAAAATCGGCGTAAATCTCGCCATTAAGCCGAGGTGGCAAAAAGTACGGACCGATCTAAAAATTATGAAATATTAGAAAATCATTGCGAGAAAGAAGTTTCTTCAATCGAATGATACTCACCACTCGGTCCGCAATTACTCCGGCCCAAACATTAATACTCCAGCGGTACTGGAACGCGCCTTCTCGAACGGCGTGTGGATTTTCCTCCTGCCACAATAGGAAATATAGAACGGATGGTATTTTCTGTGGTCTCGT